ATCCTCAATCTGAGAAGAAACTAACACAGCCATTATCCTCAATCTGAGAACAAACTAACACATCCATTATCCTCCAATCTGACAACAAACTAACACAACCATTATCTTCAATCTGACAACAAACTAACACAACCATTATCCTCAATCTGACAACAAACTAACATACAACCATTATCCTCAATCTGACAACAAACTAACACAACCATTATCCTCAATCTGACAACAAACTAACACAACCATTATCCTCAATCTGACAACAAACTAACACAACCATTATCCTCAATCTGACAACAAACTAACACAACCATTATCCTCAATCTGAGAACAAACTAACACAGCCATTATCCTCAATCTGAGAAGAAACTAACACATCCGTTATCCTCCAATCTGACAACAAACTAACACAGCCATTATCTTCAATCTGACAACAAACTAACACATCCGTTATCCTCAATCTGACTACAAACTAACACAGTCATTATCTTCAATCTGACAACAAACAAACACAACCATTATCCTCAATCTGACAACTAACTAGCACAAACATTATCCTCAATCTGACAACTAGCTAGCACTGCCATTATCCATACTAAGGACCATGGGGACGTACGTACAGTATGCTTCCTACACGGACCCTAGGACCCATGATGATCCAGGTTAGAATTAGTCTTCAGCAACCCATGCTTGTCGTAAAAGTCGACTCCAATGTTTATAGACCGCCGTCATATAGCAGGAATATTATTGGATGCGGCGTAAAACAACAAACCAAAACAAACAGGGACCCTAGCTGGATGTACAACACAACTTCAGACGTTGGCGATTGTACAATATATCTATTCTACCAACGTACTAGCACGCCCAACCGTGTGTTATAGTGTCAAATAAACAACCAGCAACTCCATAAGACGTTATTAACACAATGGCTATCGACAAGCTAACAATAAACTTAAAATGCAACAACCTTAAGACCAAACAATCTTTAAGCATTACAGCCCGGGAAAATCCCTACTCAACCAGCCTCTACCTCTGCATTCCAACGTGGACAACCGCTACGTACTCTATTCCCCAAGCAGTGAGGTGATAATCCCAACTAAAGCACTCAATCACTCTCCTAACGAACACTGTTATTAGCATTGGGCCATACCTATCTGTCATTTATCTCAATATACTTTCACCAGTTCATCCCATGTTCTCTTCCAACACACGTATGCAGTAACACAAGACCAACAAGACCATTTTACCGTTATCGTTTGAACGTAATATATTCTATTGCACAAAAGCTTCTCCTCATATTTAATTGGTCAATTATTTCAAATGCACTGCACATTATCCTATTAGTGACATGCTTTGCATTTAATTAACGCTTTATTGTCTATAACAGACAATTATCCATATCAGTGCTGCATTTAATTAATTACTGAGAAAAGAAAGGCTATATTATCTATCAAAGACAATTATTCATATTAGTGCTTGTAATATATTTATTAAATAACAAATATCGTGCTTTATATTACTGATAGGAAATTTCGAAGGGGCGTTCAATGCTAAATTAGAAATGTCAGCCTTATATTGCCATTGGCTGGAATGTATGATTCCATCAGAAATGTATTGACGGTTCAACACTAAATGATACTTTCAACTATGTTCATATTCCTTGCTGATTTGTGTCCTAACCAACTATCCATTGATTGGAAAGGAATTTACTATCCTTCCATTTGGTCTCCTTAAGTGACAAAGCATTGCTACAGAGGAGCACTCCAGACTTCGAAACACAAATCAAATAATACCGTGGCCAATTACAGTAGCCATTGCAGAAAGAGAAAAGTGAATTTACGAACCCGGTGATGAGACCCTATTTGCAAAGGTCTTGCGTATGTCACGTGTTCGGATGCTCTTTGCTGCCATGTTGTAGCACACATTCATTGAAATTCGATACGACCCCATACAGCATTAACATACCCTAAAGAATTGGACCGATGGTCAGGTTAATTATCTAACTGATCAATTAATTTCGGAAATACATGTGCTATGAATTATGGTACTGCATTGTTGACAGACTACGTGTTATTACGTATTACGTATTTGCTATGTATAAATTGATAATGCTTGTTCTCATTACTGGAATAGTAGTAGCAGACTTTTATTGATAGCAGGCTAACGTGGAACACCAACACAGATGCCCTGTATAGTAAATGTCAACAACGCCTCCATCTAATCCGCAAACTGCGATTTTTTAATGTTTCCCAATCTGTTATGATGTTGTTTTATACCACTTTTATTCAGAGTATACTCACTTTTTCTTCTCAGTGCTGGTTCGAGTCTCTTTCAGTCAAAAACAAATAAAAACTTAACAAAATTGTAAATACAGCTAGTAAAATAGCCGGGGTTACCTTCGATAATCTTTCATTCCTCTATGAGCGGCAAGTACTTTCAACGACTGAAAAAATCATTAATGACACAACACATTTTTTAAATCTAGAGTGTAAGCTTTTACTTTCGGGTCGCCGCTATACAGTGCCAATTTCCAAGACTAAACGAGCTCGAACGTCTTTTGTACCTCAAAGTATTGCAATTTTAAACAAATGTTGAATGTCCAGCTTTCATCTTATTCATATATTTCTATTTAAGCACACATTTATCTCTTTTTATGTTTTTAGTAATGTAATATTTTATATTGTTATTCATTTGTATTTTTGTCAAGCTCTGTGAACCAAAACGAATTCCTTTTAAGGTAATAAAGTAGTGTCAGTCTGTAGACAGGTGTAATCCCCAATTCAACACATGAAACGTTTGACCACTATCTAAAAGGCACTGAGCTTTCAAACTCTTGTATTCATAATATTTGGAACCGGTGAGAATCCGGGTTAGAATTGGTCTCCAGCAACCCACGCTTGTCGTAAGAGGCAACTAACGGGATCCGGTGGTCAGGCTCGATAACTTGGTTGACACATGCCATCGTATCCCAATTGGGTAGATCGATGCTCATGCTGTTGATCACTGGATTACTAGTATCTGGTCCAGACTCGACTATTTACAGACCGCCGCCATATAGCTGGGATATTGCTAAGTGTGGCGTAAAACTAAAGTCACTGACTCTATCACCCGAGAAAAGGTGATTGTGCCATGACCGACCAACGACACAGCAACAAACACACGCAAGGGCAAGTCATGTGTCAGCTGAACAATGGAACACGTGCTATTACTAAAAGACAAAAACATTACTCACACCGTGAATGGCACAACACTAATCATAGAACCTTTCTCCAAGTCATATGACGCTCTTCGAAATCTTCCAAAGAAACAGTACAACGTAACTTTATTTCTAGCAACAAAAAATATCGACCGATTATAAATATAAAATGCTGGTAAGTATAAATAGTTCGTAGATGATAGCTGATCTGTTCGATTTCGTCATTGCCATCGTAATGTTGCTCAAATATTGCTGAAAATGGAATCCTCAGAATGTTTTTGTTTGTTTGTTGTTTATCTGCGCACACGGCAGTATTTCAGCTACATGACGGCAGTCTGTAAGTAATCGAGACTGGATCTGACAATCCAGTGATCAACATTATGAGCAATGCAGTTGGGATACGATGACATGCGTCAACCGAGTCAGTGAACCTCGCCTCCCTGTCCCGTCAGTCGCGTCTTACGATAGCATGGGTTGATGACAGATTGGAACACGGATCTTCACGGAAACATTCAGTTAGGCCAAAGAGTAGACTCCCTTAGGAGCACCGGATCGTTGGTATTATGCGTTTGCACCAGAGTTCCACATTTCACCCCGAATACGTCTGTAGGTTCGTGTGCTTAGCTGTTTCACCGTTTCACGGTGTGTGTGGGGGTGGGGGTTGTGGGAGGGATTGTGGGGTGTAGCGGCGTTTGCCTTCCACGCCAGACACGGGTTCGATTCCCCATATGTATATTTTTTATGTTCCCCGTCGTGATACTGTTGAAGTATTGCTAAAAATGGAGTAGAACTAAACTCACTCACTCACTCACCAAAGCAGTAAACTGAGACCTTCGTCGTATTCGACCTTCCCCTCACAGCACCCTGAGACGCCGTGTCACAACTGGGGCGATGTTAAACTCCGTGGTAAGCCAGACACTCTCATTCATATAGTTTAACCGTACCGCTCTGCCCTATCGGCACCTCAGGGACAACTAGCCGTTATCATTGTTCGGCTAAAAAGAAAATGTGTCTCGGTCATCGGCATCTCAGTTCCAGAAATATTCCCTCATCGTATGTTCAGTGTTCCTATCATCCGTATTTCAGTGTGCGTAACGAGGTTGAGAACGGAAGACTGATCGTTTACTAAATATTGAGTGAGAGATTGATTTTACGCTGCTTTGAACTCTGAAGTTATATCAAGTCTCGCAAGCTTGCTGTAAGAGCCAGAACGGATGCTGGTTTAAGCTTTTTAGCATTTGTACCAACAACAAATGAAAATGGTTACAATGATGTAGGGAAATACGTGGAGATGAGGCGTCAGACGAAACGTTTAGGGCTACATAATGAAGTATATCTTCTTTAGAGTCATCGAAACTCAAGTTTTAAAAAAAGTAGATGACTTATAGTGACAAAATAAAACGAAATAGAGGACAAGATAAAATACTGCTGAATTTTGAATGACGTATTCTTATAAAATAAAACAATATGATTATTTATGTACATGAGGAATATTATGTGTTATGCAATGCTCATGACAAATATTTGTTCGCAATGCGTCCTATAAAATGACAAAATTTTGAAATCATTTTCATGAACTCAGTTAATAAAACAGTATATCATTTCAAAACACTTTACTTTGATGTTAAATCGGGTTTCTCAACACAGGCAAGTTTAGGATATAAATGAAAAACATATCGTAGTTATTAGTATTATACCATGGAACACGACGAATAAATTATGAAAACGACAAATGAACAACGGAGAAAGCAACATCGATAACTTGTCTCGCTGACATCTCGTTCCTATCTTGTTGGACCTTGGTCCAAATCTGACGCTTTTCGCAGTGATTGGAGACAAGCGACCGTGCATGTTCCCAAGCCAGTTGTTTCTGGTACCAGTAAGCTTAAAGACCCTCCAGGTCGATACCTGCCTACCTAGACTCCTGGGCTCATTCAGATCAATACGAGTGCTGACAAAAGACGCGCGCGTACCTCTGGCTGGCTGAGAAGACCCTTCATCCCGAGAGGAACAGGTAGTTCTGGCAGCGAGTATATCTTCAAGAGTTAGGCGTTTGCTCACTCTAAGGTAGGTTCTGTTTCAGTTCGTGGAGTTTTGTGCTCACAGTGAAGCCTTTTAAACATGTGTCAAGATAACATTTTCTTTTTCAGAATTCTAGGTTGTCAAGCCATGGTGATCTATAGTTTTGTCAAACATTGTCACTAGTTCTGAATTTCAGGTGCTATAAAACTATTTTACTTCCGAATTTCTGATAACTTTAACTATGACCGTTGGGATGTGTATTTTACCTTTCATGCCGATGTTAAGGAAAGTTAATCTTTCCTTTCTTGACTCATTTTGCCCATATATTGGAATGGAGTTGTTCATTGTGGACTATTAGTAGAACTTACAGTAATCGCGTTCATTATATACTTGCATTCACAGTATTTCTAGCATGAATTCCAAGCTGCGCTAGGGGCGATGGGGTTCAAGCGTTTTCTCGTGACGCCGAAGACCCGGGTTCGATTCCCACATGGGTACAATATGTGAAGCCCATTTCTGGTGAATCCTTTATTTCATACACCCTTCCACACTGATTCACGTCAGAAAAAAAGACACGCATTGCTGTACTGTAAGTGCTGAACGTTAAATACAAAGTGTCGTTGGTCTTGAACTATTGACTATGTAAATTTGTACTGCAAAATACCGCGGGTTTTCAATTGTCAAAGAAGAGAAAATGGAGAAAGGCCACATTGGCAGCCAGTGTCCAAGAAGGGCTGTGACGTTGGCTGTAAGGACTACCCCATGATTACCAACCTGTATCTCTAATACAGGACTACCCAAAAGTTACGTTTCCTGGTCAAGTACCGCTCCTGTGAGATCAATTACGTACTCATGACGAACATTATATTCTTCGTTGCCAGCGACAAACGTTTCTCGTGTTTTCTGTAACTTCACACTGATTCAGTAGCATTCGTGAATCAAAACAGGGCGAGAGTCCATGGTACAAATTAGTGGTGTTCCAAGTAATTGAAATAATTGAAGATTGGTCGCAGTGACCAAACGACCAAGCAATCAATCACAATTCCTCATAATCGAACACAAATGATTTTGGAACTACCTTTTGAAACACTTGACAGTGGAACGTATCTTAGAAGTTGTCACGACTGAAATGAGTTTAATTCTTAGAGCTGACTTCACTTATTGAAACGTCATATTTATCAGTTGGTAAATATTATTAAGAAAACTTATCTGCAATAACAACTTGAATAGGAAAATCTGAAAAATTACACTAACCAATGTTTTCGATGATTGCTCGTTGGTATCGAACCAATTATTTATTGTGAGCTTTCAACCAATTCCCAACACTAGTACAAATGGATTTTCTTGTTGATAGAAATGTTACGTTGTGTGGTAATATATAATTTCTGTCAGATTAATGACATAACAGCGAGAGATGACGAACTGTTTATACTTCATTCTGTAAATGCATATTGATTCTGTAGCTCATTCTTGAATCCTATCAGGACGAGGGTCCACACAAGTACGGTGACAGAAACCCCTTGATTGCCTTTAATGACAGGATGTTCCTAATAATATTATAACTGTTTTTAACGGATACTTTACATGGATGGTCACTGTGAAAATCAGATGAGTTCACTGTTTGAATAAATTTAACTTTAAAATTAAAAGTTGGCTTGTAATCGATGCCGTGAGGATTTACTTTGTTTCAAAGAACGAACACGAATATTTACGTCTCTGTAATACATCGTGATCATCATATTCTGTGGTTTAGTCACGTTGCTGTCACGATATGTCACATCTTTGTCACAAATGAAAGTCAGTAACAGTGTATAAAGTTTATGCCAGATTATTTATTAAGCCAATCACCAATGAGTGAAGCCTTTGAAAAACTACCTGAAACTTCGAAACTTTTATCATGTTTGATTCCAAGACCTCGATCGTAGTTGCTTTTCATACAATCAAAACAGAACAAATACATTGTTTTCTTTTTCTCAATGATGGTGTAGAGATGTATGACATGCTCCTAAGAACACGTGAGAGACCTGACACGTGAATCTTGAATTAAGATTTTTAGAACCATTGCTGGTTTAGATGTAGATGTATCCCCGCAGTGAACCGACCCATCTAACGGGATCCCTGGAGGGGAAGTTATACAAAATGTCATCTTTCCATTAGCTTGCACACGCATCACCAATTGCGGCCAGCAGTAACGATGTTTTTAAAAGGAAAGCCTCTCACAATTCACAGTGTTCTTGACGCAGATAATTGCTCATTGACATACCTGCGGGTGTCGTTTTAGTAGATACATCTATCAAATGGTTTCTCGAGCCACATTACGCAGGGCAACACACCAGTACTGGTTTGTGTGGCTCAATTATTCATGCTGTGAAGTAGATTTATGTCACCATGTATATAATTACTGATGTTTCCAATCAACTGCTGTGGTTGTCATTTGGTCATAAGATGCTACGCATTGATTTGGTGTCAGTATAGCTGATTTGGTTGATCAATGTCATCATATCCACACTGCGCAGATCGATGATCACGATGCCATTCATTAGACTGTCAGCTCGAGACGCGATCAGCTTCGGAGCTGGGTTAGAATTGTTTTCAGCAACCAATGCTTATCGTAAGAGTGGACTAACGGGATCGAGTGGACAGGCTCGCTGACTTGGTTGACACATGTCATCGTATCCCGAAGATCAATGCTCATGATGTTGATCACTGGGTTGTCTGGTCCAGACTCGATTATTGACGGACTGCCGCCATATAGCTGGAATACTGCTGAGTGCGGCGTTAAACAACAAACAAACAAAAAACGATATTCATTTATGCATTGTTATGAATTATGTGTTCGTTCTTCACTGTTTATGTAGTCACTGGCTGAGACGCAACCGAAAAAATGGAGCATATATATTAAGTTTATTCCAAAACATTTGGAATAAAATCCCAGAAGAAATGAAAATGGTTGCAAATATGTCCGTTGTGTTAAACATGAATGGGAAATGCAAAGAATTTGACCAAATATGTATTCTTTGAGACTTGACGTAAACGATTCCGACGCTTCTTTAAATACGTCCTCAGTCATGAACTTTGTAATGGGACGTGATTTGACAATACATGTAAATATTCCAAATGAACAGAAAATAACGGAGCGCTATTACCATGTTAAAGACATTTTAACAATAAAACGTCGGATAAAAACACAACCTCAATCATAACAGCTTCATTGTTAAAACACTGGTGAATATTATTTAAATCCTCAGCAAGCCATGCTTGTATTAGAGGTGAGTAACGGGATCGGGTGGTCAGGCTCGCTGATTTGGTTGACACATGTCATCGTATCCAAAACTGCGTAGATGCTCATGCTCTTGGTCACTGGATTATCTGATCCAGACTCGAATATTTATAGCCCACCAGATGGCAGGAATATTGCTGAGTGCGGTGTTAATTAACAAATTAATAAAATCATAACACAGATGGTAAGCAAGGAATCAAACTAATGCTTGAATGACAGCCTGCGTGAGTATTTGATGATAGGTGCCCAATACTTGATATATTTTTTTAAACGAAAAAGATTTTTCGCGTGATGTGCAGATTAATTTGTGGAAGTGGTTCAAGCGCGATTGTGTCGACTCCTTCGGCCGTTGCAAACAACAAAAAACAATGAAATTATTAAAAACAATATCATGTTGTCAGTTTAATATTCAGAAGTCACGAAGGTGACATGAACATAGGAGGGTAAAGAAAGTGTGAAAAACAATGAAATGTTTCAAAACAGGTGTGTTTCAACACTCAAACGATTTGAAAAACAACAAAATACAAACATTTCTCATCATCCCTGGGCCAGCGGGGTAGCCTAGTGGTTAAAGCGTTCTGTCGTCACGCCGAAGGCCCGGGTTCGATTCCCTACATGGGTACAATGTGTACAGCCAATTCCTAGTGTCCCCCGCCGTTCATCATCCCCTAACTAAACTGATGTGCGAAAGAAAGTATACCGTTTTGCATTTCGTATGTCTGCTTCTGCCAAGTTGCCAACTACTGTCAATATACAATGGACAGTTTAAAAGTTGGATTGTCTTGTTACAAATGGGTTAATAAATAGCAGTATTAAGGGCATCAGTATCATGCAGTCTATCGTTGTCGGGGATTGAGGGGGTTCAGGTCATGACACCCATATTCCTTGGGTCGCAACCCGTAAGTCCCCATAGTCCTTAGTATGCTGGTCTACCTTCAGTTGTTGGTGATCTTTTCATATGGTATTGACTTCAATAGTTCAAAAATGTTAGATTCACTTGCTAGTTTACATCTATATCTGTGATATTCCTTTTGACAGGTTTTTATGTGGTAATTTCGTGTATTATGAATGTATAACCTGTTTTAGTCACCAATATTGAAATACTGACCTCAAATCTTAACTCGCTTACATTCCTTGTTCGCTCGGTCGCTTTGGTGTTTTTGGTTTTGTTTTTGGTTTTGTTTAACCCCGCACTCGGCAGTAGACATACGCCGACCTTCTGGAAATATTCGAGCCTGGACCAGACAATCACTGATTAGGATCATATGAAACGGTCGATACGGATACGATGGCGTGTGTCAACCAAGTGAGCGAACTTGACCACTCGATCCCGTTAGTCGCCTCTTACGACAAGCATTGGTTGCTGGTGACCAATTCTAACCAGGATCGGGTTCGGGTGACCTCGTATTCCAGCAATCACCTTGACGTCTACCTACAGCAAACAATAAAAACAATGTCCTACTCATCATGTTGTAAGATTAATGTTTAGAAGTCACGAAGTTGACATGAACATAAGAGGGTAAGGAAAGTGTGAACAACATTTAAACGTTTCAAAACAGGTTTGTTTCGACGCGTAAACGATATGAAAAACAAAATACAAACAATTCTCCCCTAACTAAACTGATGTGCGAAAGAAAGTATACCGTTTTGTTTTTCAGGATGCCGTATACTAAAAGAACTTGCTAATTTGACTTGTTTGTTTGTTGTTTTAAGCCGCACTCAGCAATATCCCAGCAATATGGCGGCGTTTGATTAGGTCTGTTTA